GCCTACCTCTGGGGCCCACAGACCAGCTCCCACAGTTTGCGGCTTCAAGCATGGGCCTCAGTTTTCTTCCCTGTGAAGTGGACGGAGCACACGGCCAGCACAGCTAACACCACACGGCCCTGCAGGCAGGACCCTCAGATGCGGGCACCTGGGGGCGGGGCTCTGTGTGGTGGCCTGAGCCGGCTTCTGGCCAGTCGGCTCCTGGCCCAGTGCAGCATGCCTGGCAGTGCTGCTTGGGCTCCTGCTTCAAGAGCAGAGTCTGAGGCCGCGAGAAGCCACAGGCCGAGGGGCACAGTGAGGCCAGCGGCGCCCCAACACTGGCCAGGCCAGGCTGAAGCGTAAAGGCCCAGGCCCTCTGTGGGCGCAGGAGGGATGGGTCTTGGTCTGCGGCCGCCCGGTGGCCTCCAGGGCCCTGTGCCCTCCTGACCTGGCGGCTCCAAGGCCCCAGCACCTGCCGTGTTCCCACTGCACGGCACGCGGGCAGAGTGGGGGAAGTGGGCCCAGGCGGGGCTGCCACCTCGGGGCCACAGTGTGAGGACAAAGGCAGGGGTGGGTGAGGCTGAGGCCCAGACCCTGCTCACAGCCAGGCCCCCACATCCCTCCTGGCCCCTCGCTGGACTCACATCCAGGCCTTTTAGGGCCCCTCACTGGACAGCGGGGCAGTGACTGGGCTATGCCCGTTCAGCTGATCGGCACCGCAGGCAGCCGCTGGGCCCCTGCCAGGAGCCCCAGGCCTGCCCTCTGCAGCAATGCCCACCCTCCTGGGCAAGGGGGTTCACTGTGCTCTGGGTGCTGCCCACACTGGCTGGGCCTGCAGGCCTCCTGCCCCTCACCTGTGACATGGGCACAGGGAGCAGGAGATCCTGCCCCACGACCCTCAATCCTGAGCGGGCTTGGCCCAGCGAGGGGTGGAGGGCTGGGGAGACCTCCCACACGCCTGCAGCGTTGGGCAAGGAAGGCCGGCCTGGAGAGGCCGAGCTGGCCAGGGCGGCACAGCCCAGGGACCTGCCTGGCAGAATGGCTGGAGGGGGCCCCCGGGGCCTGGAGCAGGCAGTGCCTTTCCTGCCAGGACCCGCTGGGTGGGGGACGTCAGCACATACCCAGGCGCCGCGCAGGTGGGAGAGCGCAGGGGAGCACTGCCCTGCAGGGCCATGTCTGCGCCCCGCACGCGGCTGCATGGACAGGCCTGCGAGGGCATCCCCTTCAGACACACGCAGACCACAAAGCCGACCCCACTGACAGGCCACGGCGGCTACTGGGGTGTGCCTGGGGCGGGCACGGCCATCAGTCCCATTCTGCGGATGGGGAAACCGAGGCTCGCATCCACTTCACACCACGCCCCCCCGGGCCATTACCCTGGCAGAGTTCTGGAAGGCCCAGGAGGGGCCCAGGCCCGCTGCGTGGCACACCGGTCATGAGCTTGCTGGCTCCTGGTGGCCCGAGCAGGGCAGCGAGGCTGGCGTGACTGGCTGACGGGGCCCCGGGGACCTCCCCGTCTGGCTCTCCAGGCCAGGCTCTCCCCCACTCACAGGCCACAGCCCAGCACACCAAGGCCCACCGGGCGGGGCCGACCCCCTCTGGGCTGCTATCCTTGAGGCTGACCTCGGCCCCCTGGGTCCCAGGCTGCTCCTGCCAGCAGCAAACTGGCTGTGGCCTCAGTCTCCCCCTCTGTGAAATGGGGCTAGTGGGCAGCTCCAGGAAGCCGGGAGTCTGGTCCGTGGGCAGGCGTCCCATGGGGCCCCTGAGCGTGGCCCGGTCAGGGCTGGGGGTGGGGGGCGATACCGATCGACGAGGCAGCAGCTGCCTCCAGGAGGAGGCCTGTCGATGGCAGATAGGCCTGGAGTATTATTCACGGCCCGGCAAGCCCCAGGAACGTCTGGTTGGCATAGAAACAGGAGATAAGGGGCACAATTAATGGCATCACGTTCCCTCCTCCTTTCTTCCCCAACTGACCCATTTAAATCCCTGGCGGTGCTGGTGCCACGCTGGGCTCCTGGTGACCTCGGGAGGGGCTGGCCAGGCGGGACTGGCCCCCAGTCAGGGCTGGGTGAACCCCCCAGCATCCTCCCTGCACTTGGATGTCTCAGGAAGGAGGTCAGGGGATGTGGGCAGGGCCGGGATGGGGGGCTGTGCCGCAGCCCATCGCACAGGTGTGGAGACTGAGGCCGGAGAAGCCAGGGACGGAAGCCGGGCCACCTGCCCGCCCAGGAGGGCCGTCACCTCTCGGTACTGCTGTCTCCCCAGCTGTGGAGTGACGATGGGCAGCAGGGGCCGTTACTGCCCAGCGCAGAGCGGCGCCGGGCCAGCTGCTCTTACCAAGTCCATGGCCACTGAGGGGAGGCCTGCGCCATTGCCCGAGCCAGCGGCACAGGGACTAGGCCCACCTGGAGCCAGGCGAAGCCGGAGCCCTGGGGTTCAAGTGCGGGCTCCGGCACCTGAAGCTCAAGTGCAGGCTTTGGGGCTGAGCCATGCAGCCCCCATCTCTACGTCTGTGTCCTCTGCGGCCAGGCCTACTTTCCAGAGGGGAAACTGAGGCAGGGGAGGCAGTCCCCTGCCTGTGGAGGCTGGGCACCTGGCAGAGTCCCCCATGTGGGGGCAGCGTGATGGCTTCCACGCTGATAAAGCACTTCAGAGCCCGCCCGCCCTGAGCTGTGCCCAAGTCAGGCTCCCGGGAAGGGCCCTCGGCCACGGTGCCAGCCCCAGCGGGCTGGGCTCTGTGAGGGGCGGGTGAGAAGCCGGGCGGGTCAGCCGTGTGCGGGGAACAATAATTTGTTTAAGCAAACTCTGAGAAGGTGTGAAAACGCCGTCCTGAGACAACTGGCTGGTGCCCAGCCGCCCCCGCTCCTGCAGAAGGCCCTGGCCAGGGCAGCCTCGGTTTCCACTTAGCACCTGGGGTGCAAGGGCACCCCCACCGCAGAGGGCTCTGCAGCCCCTGGACTGCTGGCTCCTGTCCCCACGGTTCAGAGCGGGGAGCTGCGGCCCGCGCATGTCTCCCGGGCGCGCTCACCGCTGCTTTTTCAGACGGTGCAGGAGCCCCCCAAAGTGACCCACTCTGCTCTCAGCGGCGCCCCCACTTGCTCGGCGGCCTCCATTTCCTCAAGGCACCTTGCAAAGCGCAGGTGCTCAATTCAGACCTGCTACGTGAAATCGGGGCTGTCCTGACTTGGGGGGCCCTGCTTAAAAAACCCCGGGATACCCGGTCCTTCCTCAAGCGGCGGGAGCCAGGAAAGCCCCGGACTGTGTCTCGGGAGGGCAGCGGCGGGTCCGGGCCGCCCGCTATCTCGCACCATCTAGGGGCGCGTCCGCTCCCCGCCCCCGCCGGCGAAGCGAGTTCTCTTTCCTCCCGCCGGGCCGCGAGGTGCGCGGGGGTGAGCCCTGGCCCGCGCCCCGCAGACCCGCGCCCCCCGCCCCCGCACGCCGAGCCGCGCCGGGCTGGCGGCCGCAGATAAGCCCCATCGCCCCGGCGATCGCCGCCCGGCCCGGCTTATCGCGCTCGCATCGACCCGGCGGGAGGCGGCGAGGGGCCGGGGCCGGGGTCCGCGCTGCGCGCCCCCTATCGCCGCGGCCATCTGGCCGGGCCGGGCCGCCCCCGCCGCGCCCCCCGCCCCGCGTTTGAAGTTAATAAATGGAAGCGCCTATCGCGCCGCCATCGCGCTATCAGCCGGCACATCTCTCGCGCCGAACAAAGGCGCAGGGCGCGGGCAGCTGCGCCGGCCTCCGTGGGGCGCCCGGCCCCGCGCCCCGCGGCCCGCGCGCAGGTGAGGCGGCTGGGGCGGCTGGGGCGGCTGGGGCGCGGGCTGGGGCGCGGGCTGGGGCGCGGGCTGGGGCGCGGGCTGGGGCGCGGGCGGGCGCCGCCGCTGGGGACAAGCGCGCCGGCATCTTAACGCGCCGCGATCGGCGGGGGGGGGGGGCCCGCGGCCCGGCCCGGCGCAGCCCCGCCTCCCGCCGCCTCCCCCCCCGCCGGCCCGGCTCGCAGGCGCGGGGCGGGAGCCGCGCCCGCGTGCCCACGGGGTCCCCGTCCCGGGCGCCCCCCGCCGAGCGCCCCGCGCCCCGCGGAGGGGGGGCGGCACCCGGCCGGCGCGGCCCGGGACTTTCGGAAAACAGGTCCGCGCGCGCGGCGTCGGGTTACGGAACCGGATTCCCCGCGCTCCCCGGGAGGGCCTTGGGCCGCGCCGCTCCCCGGGGCCGGAGCACGGGGTCCCGCGGGCGGAGGGCGCGGACGGCGGGGAGCGGGGCCCGCCTGGCGGGGGGCGCCCCGGGCAGCCGGGCGCGGGCGCTTCCCGCGAGGGGCGCGGGCGCGGGGCGCCTCCCGTGCGCGGGCTCCGCGGCTCCCCGCGCGGCGCAGCGGCCCGGAGCGCGCCCTCTCGGGGGCCGGCGGTGGGGGCCCCGGGGGCCGCCGCCGGCCGGGGAGAAACTTGGACCCGCGGACGCCGCGCTGGCCGGCCCGGCCCGGCCCCCCCCCGCACCCCGGGACGCCGCCGGCCTCGGGGGGCACGCGGGGTCCCGCGGCCGCGCCGAGCCGAGCTGGGGCGGCGCAAGCTGCGCCCCGGCCCGGCCCGGCCCGGCCCGGCCCGCACGCTGGGGCGCGGGTCCCGCCCGCCCGCCCGCCGGAGCCGGGGAGCGCGATACGATCGCGGCCGCCGCGCCGATGCTATCGCCGTGGAATATTTTCAACTTTATCTGCGCCCCGATCGCGCCGCCCCATCGCCGCGCGATCTCGGGCGGGGGAGGGGCGCGCGGGGCCGCACCCGCCGCCCGCCGGCCTTGGGGGCCCCGGCCCCGGCCCCGCGGGGCGCAGACGCCGGGCGGGGAGGTCGCCGCGCCCGCGGGCAGAGCGGGCGGGCGCGGCGGGGGCGCGGCGCGCGGGGTCGGGGTCGGGGGTCGGGGCGGGGGTCGGGTCGGGGGTCGGGTCGGGGGTCGGGGGTCGGGGCGGGGGTCGGGCCGGGGGTCGGGCCGGGGGTCGGGCCGGGCCCGCGGGCCGCCGGCGAAGTTGGACTCACGCTTGATCTGCCGCGGGTTGCTCTGCTTCCTCCTGGACATGTCTCCGGCGCCGCGCGCCCTCCCGGCGGCCGCCTCTAGCCCCTGGCGGGCGGCGGCGGGCGGCGGGGCGCGGCGGGGCCGCGGGGCGGCTCATGCCCCCGGGCCCCGGGCTCCGCGGCCGCCCCGGCCCGCGCCCCCGCCCGCCGCGCCCGCCCGCGCCCGCCGCGCCGCCGCCGGGGCTGGAGGCCAGGCCTGCTGCGCGGGCGCGGGGCCGGTCCTCGGCGGGCGCCAGACGCCGCCGCCGCTCGCTCTCCTCAGCCGCCGCCGCGCGAGCGCCCGACCCGCGGCCACGGCGAGGCGCTCCCGGCGGGCGCGGGCGGGCGGGCGGGCGGGCGGGAGGGCGGGCGGGAGGGCGGGGCCGGCGCGTCACCGGCGCCCGCCCCGCCCGCGCCCGGCCCCGCCCCGCCCCGCCCCTGCGGGCCCCGCCCCGCGCCCGGCCCGGCCCCGCCCCCTGCGGGCCCCGGCCCCGCCCTCGGCCCCCCCGCGCCCGGCCCCGCCCCCGAGCCCGGCCCCGCCCCGCCCCTGCACCCGGCCCCACCCCGCGCCCGGCCCCGCCCTGCCCCCGGCCCCGCGCCTCCCCGCCCCGCCCCGCCGCCGCCTGGGTCGATCTCCGGTCCCGGCCGCCCTGGCCCCGCCCACCCGCGCGGCCCGCCCTTCCAGTTGGCCCCGCCTCTGGGAGCCAGCGAGGCCCCGCCCCTGCCGCGCTGGCCCCGCCCACCGCGGCGGCCCCGCCCCCGCCCCGGCGCGCCCGGCGCCCCCTCCGCGCTCGGGCTGCGGCTGCGTCCAGGCTGGGCCCCGCGTCCGGCCGGGCCCCCGGCTTCTCCGGACCCGCCCGCCGGCGCCAGCCCCGCCCCAGGCCTGACCCGGTCCCGGCCCTTACTCGGGCCACGGGCCACGGCCCGCCCCTCCGCTCTGGAGCGCCGCCCCGGGGGGCGGAGGCCCGAGGTGTGGGCGCCCCCCCCCCCCCCCCCCCGCCTTGGGCGGATCTGGGCTCGGGCCGCGGGACCTCTGCCCGCACCGCCCTGCAGGCAGATTCTCCGGCCGCGCCTCCCTCCCGCCCTGGGCGGCCGCGACCCCGCAGTGCAGGCCTTGGCCTTTTCGGGGTGCGGGCGCCCCGGGGCCTCCTCCCAGATCAGGCTGGACATCGGGGAGCACGCGGGAGCCAGAGGCCCGGGCCAGGCCCGAGCAGCAGCCCCCGGGACGTGGTCCCCACCACTCACCAGCCAGGACTCTGCGGCTGCCCCTGCTGGGGGCCCCGGAAGGAGGACCCCTCCCGGCCTAGCGAACCCCCTCTCCTGAACAGCTCTCCTGAACTGTTGCGAGTGAGCTGGTCCCCAGGGTCAACTGTCTGTCCAGCCCTGAAATGGAGATGACTCTCCTGTCTTTGGGGTGTGTTCAGGGGACCCCAGAGGCCCGGGAGGGTCGAGGTCACACGGCCCTGGAGGCTGTCCTCCCAGATGGAATTATGTTTTATTTTATAATCCTCGGCCTGCATTTGGCGCCTGCCCCTCTCCCCCATATTCACAAGAAATAGGGAGTCAGCAAGGGCGGGGGACCGAGAGCCGGGCCTCTGCAGAGGGCACGGGGACACCCATCCAGATGGCCCACCCACCTGATGGCAGGACCCGTCACAGCAGCGCTGTCCCTTGTCTCATGCGGGGGGGAGGGGGGGTTGCTGCGGGAAGTCCCTCACTCCCCACACCTTTGCCTCACAGAAGAGATGGGTTACCCCATAACTTGTCCCCTTTCCAGCAGTATTCACGGGGGCCCCTGGAAAGGAGGCTGGGGTCCACCCCGGGACCACCCACCTGTGCCTGGACAGAGGGGACACTAATGCCAGGCGGCCAAGAGACCTGCCCTCCAGCACCCTGCACAGGCACGGGCAGCTCCCCACCACTGCCTGGCGCTGCACCCCCTCCCTCACAAGTGCACCCACATCTGCGTGCTCACTCCAGCTGGACGAGGCACCGACCTAGCTGGGCTTCCCGTTGGGCCAGGACAGGGACCGGGGAGTGGCGTTTCCTGGAGGAGGGGGCCTGGGCGTCCACACCAGCCAGTGGCACTGGGCTGGCCGGCTGGGGGCTGGCCTGTGGGGGAGGGGCCTGAGGGCCACGGGGAGGCCACACCGTGCGAGGTCGGCCTCGGCACTGCGGCCACTTGGTCACCCACATACAGGTGAACAAACAGGCCTGGGAGGAGAGACGTGCCCACCCCGCCCAGGACTTCAGGCGGTGGCGGCCAGGCAGCATCACTGACCAGGACCAGGGCATCATTTGGGGGGTCACAGTGCAAATGAAAATGGGCCCTCTTGTTCAAAAATGAGGTTTTCAGGGTGCTTTCCTTCTACACTCTGCCCCCTCTGTCTTTCAGGTGCCCTGCAGGGGTATTATCAGCCCCGGGTGCGGGAGACCCTGCGGCCTACTCGGGCAGGGGACCTGCCACCCCCTCAGGGGAGGGCTGTTGGCAATGGCGATAAGCTGAGGAAAGACTGGAAACGAGTGGAAAGGAAGGCCAGGGCGACCTGGAGCAGAACAGCACCTCTGCCTGAGGACGTCAGGGAAGGCTTCCTGGAGGCGGTGACCTCCAGATAGGGCTTAACAGGAGTCCCTGATGAAGTAGGAGAGGGGGTGGTGGGGTGTGGAGGGTGTCCAGGTGGGGCTCATGCCCCATGGTCTGCCCATTGTGAACCCTAATTTCCACCTGCCTGTGTGCCCATGAGCAGCAAGTCACATCCTAATGTCAGTGTGGAGAGAACAGAGTCGGGCCTGCCAACTCCCCTAGAGCTGGGTACTTCCTGCGCACTAGAGGCCTGGGGGGCGGGCCCAGGGGGTGACTCTGTCCGGGCGCCTGCTCTGGGGCCGTGTGGCATCCCCGTCACAGACACCTTCTTTTTCTTGGCTGGCCTGTGTTCCCTCCTGACTCCTCATGCACCTGCCGGGTGGTTATGAATGCCAGGGTACCCAGGGCAGGAAGCGGCAGAGTTGGCTCAGAGCGGCCCCCCAGCTCTTAAGTGGAAGCGCCTCCTGCATCCCCAGGCAGTGGTGCCCCAGCTCAGGCCTGGGATCCGGGAGAGGGGCTTGGAGGGCCTGGCCCCAGGCACGTCTCTGGCTTGCCTCCTCAGCCTCTGCCCGCTGACCTGGGGCTGCTGCACACGGCCCCACCCCATGTGCCAGGAGGGAGGCAGCTGCGGGTACCTCGCTAGTGCACTGCTGGTGGGGCTGTGACCTAGGGAGTCACAGAATGTTCTAGAAACAAGCTGCACTAGGCAGGATGAAGAGGATGCTCAAGAAAGAGGCACAGCTGCAGGCAGAGGAGGTACAAGGTCTGGAGGGCCCAGAGTGCGGGGCCTGGAGCAGAATGGGGGGGCATCCCCGAGGCCAGGCCAGAAAAGGAGCCTCGGAACACCAGGCGGAGCACTGGTTCTCCTTCATCACCCCAGCACCCCGGCTCCGAGTGGCCCGAGACAGCCCCCTGCTCTGAGGCTGGCACTCGCTGGCCGGCCCGCGGCCTGCCTGTCCTGCTCCCCCAGGGCCGCCTGCGTGACGAGCCCCGGCTCAGCCTGCTCCCGCTCCTGCCGAGCCTCCTCGGAGCGGGCGGCCTGCGGCCACAGGGCCTTTGCACAGCTGTCCCGCCGCCTGCTGCACACCCCTCCCACGGCCCGGCCCGGCCCACTCCCCCTTCCCCGGCAGCCCTGGCTGCTCCCCACAGACGGGGCCTCCTTCCGTGCCGGCAGCGGGCGGGCACTGCACCCCGGCCCCTCCCCCAAACACAGGCCCCTACTCTCTGCAGAAGGCCCCCGGCCCCTGCCAGTCCCGCCACCGAGGCTCGAGCAGCGACGTCCTCCCTGGAGGCAGCCGTGGAGGCCGCTGAAGGGCCCGCGCCCCGTCGGCGCCGCCCGTGGGGAAGGGCAGGCCTGTCCCGCGTGGCCCGGCCGGTCTCACTCACGGGCAGCCGCTGACGCTCGTCACCGCGGCTCCGCGAGGGTTTAATTAACTTCCTGTTTCAACGCTGGATAATGAGTTTTAAGCATCACGTGATTCGTAAGGAGGTCGAAGGGCAGGCGGGATGTCAAAATAAATTAAGTGAGGAAAGGGGGTTCGGCGGCAGGAGGGGCAGGGAGGAGGGGCGGCTCCTGGGCTGCTTCTGCGGCCTGGCTCCCGGGGTGGCCCCGCGGCCCCTCTCGCCTGCCCCCCTCGCGTCCCGGGCCGGCTCTGCGGGGCAGACCTCCGGGCTGGCCAGAACCCCGCGTCTGGCACAGCGCTGGGGAGGGGACTGAGGCTGCAGGGGCAACTGCCTGGGGTCTCCGGGCCCAGGCGCGGGGGGTCCTGCTCTGTGCTCTGGTCACATCCTGGGCGCCTCTGGCTTGTCAGACCCAAGCACACCCGGCCCGGGGGGTGGCGGCCCGGAGGCAGTGCCCCCTTCGGGAGCGGGACTGCGCGCCCGGCGCGGCGGGGGAAGGGCTGGGCGGGGGTCAGCGAGGCCGCCATCCTCCTGCGCCGGCACTCCCTGGGGGCGGGCGCCTGGCCAGCTTCCCCGACGTGCCGCCCCCTGGCCAGCGACGATGGGCACCCAGGACGCGGCGCACCAGGATTAGGGCAGGCAGGTGCCCTCGGGACGGGCTGCAGGCAGCTGGTCTGTACTGGCCGACCCCGACCCCGCGCTGGTGGCCCCAGAGCCTGGCCGAGCGTTTGGGGTGCCCCCTGTGGGTCCGGGGCGCTGCTTCCCGCACCCGTGCCCTCACCGTCTCCCGCTGGGCTCCGGACCCGGCGGGGGGTGCCTCGGGGCAGCCCCAGGGCACGGAAGGCGGGCAGTGTCCGTGGGTCGCGTTCGCGCGTGGCTCGGAGGCCGTGGGCGGTGGCGGCCCGCGCTGCCCAGAGGGGCCCTGCCCGCAGCTGGCCTGGTGCTGCCACCTGGCGGCGGGCCGGGGCCGTTCCCACGAAGGTGCGCCGGCAGGGCCCGGGGGCTCCCAGGGCCCCCCAGGACGGCGGGGGGGACACAAGCACAGCAGGCCTTCTGCAAAAACAGCGGGAGTGTATTTGACAGGCGGGTGCCGCCCTCGCGGCGCCCGGAGCCCCCGTCGTGTCTACAGGAGGGTGGTCTGGCCCGAGGTGGGGCTGAAACAGGGGAGACAAACGGTGACCCTCAGGGCAGAAGGAAGCCTCTCCCACCCGCCTGCTCCCCTCGAGGACGCAATTCTGGGGTCACCTCAGTGCACGAGCCGCCGGGCGCCAGGGCCGCCCTGGGCCCCGAGTGTCTCATCTGGGAGGCCGGGGAAGACGGGGCCGGGGCCTCCCCGACCCCAACACGGGGGTCCCTCGGAAAGCAAACCGGGGTCCTGGATTCACATTATGACATGAACTAGCACCAGAGACTTCAAGAAAAATCGCAGACGTGGTCGGGAGCTCCCCGGGGGCGGCCGGGGGGCTGGGGCGGGCAGGGCCGTGGGGAGCAGGAGGGAGGGCTCGCGGGAGTCGCTGTCTGCTCCAGAGGGGAGCCTGGTGCCCGGGGCACCTGTCATCGGAGGTGGGGGTTCAGGCGGCTCCCCAACGGGTCACTCTGGAATTCCGGCACCGGCAGCAAGAGATGGAGCGCGAGCCCGTCACCGTCGGCAGCCGCCTCCGCTTCCCCGCTGGACGGCCTGGGGGGGCCCGGTGTGGGTCTTCCGAGGAGGGGCCCTGTGGGCGCTGTGCCTTGGCGGGGGGCAGGGGCGGGGGGAGCTCTGCGCTCGTCCAGTTCTCGGTGCTAAGAAGACGGCTGCGTGGGCTCGGGCGGGCTGCCGCGGGGCTGCCCTCGCCGGGCCCCAGCCCTGCTCCAAACGCCACAGTCTCAGCCCTGACGTGGGGTGCAGGCCCCGTGCGCATCAGGGAGCCGGAGGGGGCCGGCCATGGGCGAGGGGCACTGGCAGGGCGTTCCTCGCGCCCCCCCCCCCCCCCCCCGCCGCGGAGCTGCGCCCAGCTCTGCTCCCAGGGGCGCTGCTGCTGCAGCTCACTCGGCGGCGCCCTTCTTCAACGGGATCTTGAAGCTGGTGAGCCGCTGCCCGAAGAGCTGGCTGAGCAGGCTGCTCTGCGACTCGGCCGTGCGGCGGGCCTGGGGAGCGGCGAGTCCGGCGCCGAGGACAGCTCTGCTCCTCTTGAGGGACCTGTGCAGGGGTCTCGCCGGGGGGAAGGCCTGGCCCAGCCCTCCTTGCCGGGCACCCCTGTGGGCATGGGCGGGCTCCCCCTCCCGCGGGGCCGACGGCTGTGAGCGCGTCTTGCTGCTTTGGCTGCCGGGCCGGGGCTTGGTGGGGAGCACGCGGCTGGGAGCCAGCTGCTTCCGGGGGCCCGCGGGGGCTTTCCGGGGACTGTCCCCCACCTCTGCTCCTGGCTGGCCGGGGGGCCCGGCTCTTCCTCTTTCTTTCCGCGCCCTCTCTGTCCTCCCCGGGGCCCTGGGGGCAGCCCCGGGCTGTGGCCCTCGGGGCAAGCTTGTCGGGGGTGGGGCTCTGGCCCGGCTGGCCGGGCTTGGCCGGGGTGGAGGCCGTCTCGCTTTGGAGCTGCCCGCTGGCCGGCTGGGGCTGGCTGCCCCCAGCGGCCTTGGCGCGGTGCCCTGGTTCTCCGCCACCCTGGGAGCGGGGGCCCGGCCTGGCCTTGAGGGTGCTGGGCATCCCCCTGGCCTCGGTGCCGGGGGCCGGCGCGGTGGGTGCCGGGCTCGCTGCCGCCGTCTTTGGTGTCTCTGGGAACGCGGGTGCCTTGCTGGGGGCAGGCGGGGTGGACGTCTGCTTCGACAGACGCTGGCCGCCCCCAGCCTTGGCGGCGCTGCTCTGATCAGAGGGGCACCTTGTGTCCCCCTGGGGCGCCACGTGGCTCGTGGACACTTGCTTTTCCTTCCGGAGAGGGGTGGGGGCTTCGGGGCGATGGTCAGGGCCACCTTTGCCAGCAGCTCCGGGGGGCCCACGTCTCCCTGAGAGGGGCCCAGCCGCCCTCCTTCCCTCTGCACCTTGGCCCCTGGCCCTTGGCTGGGGCAGACGCCCCTCCAGCGGGGTGGCCTGCTGGACCCACGGCCAGGGGCTGCCTGCGGGAGCCTCCCTCCGGGAGCCGCCCGGGACTCGGTCTGGCTCGTGGCCACCTTTGCCGTCGGCCACGGCAGGGAAGGGAGTCAGAGGCGGGGGCAGCAGCGTCTGCAGGCCCGATGGAAGGCTGCCAGCCCTGCCCCGGGGGCCCAGCGGCCCCGTGGGCCTCTCTGGGGCCCTAGGCTGTCCCTCGGAGGTGCCGGCAGCCCCCTCGGGGCAGGGCAGGAGCAGGGATGGGGGTGCATCCCTGCTGGGCTCCGGGGGGCTGCAGGGCAAGGCCACCCGTCGCCGCTTGCTGGGCAGCGTGCCCGGGGAGGCTGGGGCCCTGTGCCCGGGGGCCCCTGGCCTCCGCACGCCCCGGAAAGGGAAGGGCGGCCGGCCCCGCCGCCGGTGCTTGTCCATGTGCCGGTCGAACTGCTCCTTCTTGGCGAAGGTGTAGTTGCAGGCGCTGCAGGCGAAGGACCGCCGGCTGATGCGCGTGACGCTGGCGCAGAGCTCGCAGGCGTACAGCGGCGTGTGCGGCAGCTCCAGCGGCAGCTCCTCGCCCAGGCCGTGCTCCCCGCCCAGGTGTGCGCGCAGCTGGCCGGGCTCGGGGTAGACCTGCGGGCACTGCGGGCACAGGTAGACGCGCTGCCGGCTGTGCACCGCCAGGTGGCGCTGCAGCTTGAAGGGCTTGGGGAAGCGCTTGCCGCAGTGGTGGCAGTCCCGGGCCGGGTCTTTGCAGTCCGCGTGCACCTGCCTGGCGGGGCGCAGGGGCTCGCCGCCGGGGCCGGGGCCGGGCAGGGGCTGGGGGGCGGGCTGGGGGGCGTCTGGCCCGAGCCAGAGGGGGCGTCCCGGCCCCCGGGCGGGGGGGGGCTCCAGCTGAGTGGCGGGGAGCTGGCGGGTGTGGCGGCGCCACCCCGGGGCTTCGCCTGCTCCCTAGGGCCGTCCTCCGGGGCCTCCGGCCCTGGAGCGTGGGCTGTGCCAGCGGGGGACGGCCCCAGGACACGGCCCAGGAGGCAGGCGGCTGTGCGGCCGCCCTCCCAGGCCTCCGGCCAGCCGCCAGGGGCCCTCCGCGCGGGTGCCCGGCGGGCGAAGCGGGCAGCGTGCTCCCGCAGGTGCTCGTTGTACATCCAGACGTCGGCCTCCTCCCGCAGGCACATGCCGCAGGCCCAGGGCCCCGCCTTGCTCTGCACGTGCTTCTCCCGCAGGTGCTCCCGCAGCAGCTCGCGGGAGCCGAACCTGCGCTCCACGCACATGTAGCAGGTGGGGGGCGGCGCAGGGCTGTGGGCCAGCCGGTGCAGGTCCCGCTCGCCCAGGCCCAGGAAGCGCTGGAAGCACACCCTGCACTTGTAGGCCGCCCGCCGGGCTCTGGCCGGCCGGGATTCCCCCCGCCTGGGGCTGGCCGCCGCCCCCTCCGGCCCTGGGTTCCCCACCTTGGCCGCAGCCTCCGGGCCCAGGAAGCTGAGGCTGGGGGGACTGGCGGGGCCTTCACGGGGCCCCGGGGGACGCAGGGCCTGTCCCTCCAGCGTGGCGCCGGGTGTGGGGAGGGGCAGGGCGTCGCCGGGAGACGCGCCGGCACAGCGTTCTCGCTCAAGGTTGGGGGGCTCGGGGCTCGTGTCTCTGACGCCCTCGTGTCTCGGGGCGGCGTCCTCCATGGGCACAAGCGGTTCCAGCCCCCGCCAGGCGGCCGGGACCATGTGCAGCTCCGGGATGCTGTCGGACAGGCGGTCCTTGGCCCCAGGGGGGGCCCGCGTGTCGCCAGCCGCCTCCCGGCCGGGCTCCAGACCCCACAGGCTGGGGCAGGGGGCCCAGGGCTCGATGCCGGGCGCCGGGCTGCCGAGGAAGCCGTCCAGCGGGAAGGCCGGGGGCAGGCCCGCGGCCTCAGCACCCCACGGGTCCTCGCGGGACAGGCAGAGAGAGCCCGAGTCTCTGAGGTCTGTGGGTGGGTGAGCGGGGGGCAGTGCCACACTGTCCCCCACCTTGCCCCTGGGCTCCAGGGGTGCGGGCGGCTTCGGCTTCTTACCGCTCTTCCCACAGACGCGGGGCTGCTTCTTCCGAGTCAAGGCCAGAGGGAAAAGCTGGGAAAAGGCAGCTTCATCATGGGCCAAGCTCAGAGGGTCCCCGAGACCCGGGCTGGGGGTGGCGGGAGGGGTGCCCTTCTGCTCCCGGGCCCCGTCTCCTGGACAGCAGCTATGGGGGACGCCGCCTGCTTCAGCACAAACCTGGGATGGGCCGGAGGGGCCCGAGGGGAGCTTGTGCGCCTCCCTGAGCCCCTGCCCCGAGCTGCACTCAGGCACCCCGCGGCCCCCTGCAGACCGTCCCCAGGGCGGGTCCTGGCCGGTTCCCGCCGTCCCGGGCTGTCTCTGGCCCCGCCCCGGCCGGCCCCTGCCCCGGGAGGCGGCGCGGGGGCCGTGCGGGTCCTGGGTGAGCCCCAGGCGGCTGTCCCCTGCGGGCCTGGCGGGGCCCCGCGAGGCGGCCGCGTGGCCCGGCTCTCCCGCTCCGCGCCCGGGGGAGGCGGCGGCCAGCCGGGGCCGGGTAATTGGCCATCACGGTTGATGGATTTGCGCCGCCTCTATCTGAAATCACATCAGCAGCGCCGGGAGGCCCGCGCGCCTCCGGGCACCTCCTCCCGCTCGCCTTGCTCGCCGCCTTCTTATTTGATTTCCCCTCTGACCGGCCGGGCCAGCCCGGGGGCTCTCGGCCCCGCCTCTGGCCTCCCTTCTCCGCGGGCCTGGGCCGGGCCGCAGCCTGCTCCGGCGGGCCCCGCGTCCCGGGCTCTGGGCGCCTCGAGTCCACCCTTCGCTTGACGGGCGTCTCCCGGCCAGGGGGGCAGCCCGGCGCTCCCGGCACGCCCAGGGAAGTGCCGGGCGCTGGGGCGTCCAGCGGAGCCGAGCAGCCCTGGACAGGGGTGGCCCCGCAGCGCGGCGGGGGCCGCTCAGCGCCTGCCTCCGTCTCTCCTTCCCAGGGCTCCTGCGGCTTTTCTTTTCCGAGGGGTCCTGAGGCTGGCGAGGGGGCGGGGCCGGGGGCCCGGGCTGGGAGGCAGCCCCCCGATGCAGTCCGTGCTTCCTGGCCCGGTGGCGGCTCAAGCCGGGCCTTGAGCGGAAGGAGGCCGCGCAGACCTCGCAGGTGGGGGGCTGGCCGCTGGGGGCCCGCTCCTTCCAGCTGCTGCTCTCCCCTGAAGCCGGCGGCTCCTTCCAGTCGCCCTGGGGTGTCTGGTGGAGGCTGCTTCCGAGGTTCTGGGGGGAGCTGGGTCTGGGCTTGCCAGTGGGGCTGCCGGGGGACGTGTCTCTGCCTGTGCGGGGCCCTGTGGAGGGGCAGGTGGCAGGGGGGCCTCTGCTGCTGGTCTCCAGGGCTCTGGTAAGACCAGGGCTCCCGGGCCTCTGAGTCCGTAGGCCCTCCTGTCCCTGGAGGCTGGCCCCCGCCTTGCCCACTGGGCAGGGGGCGTGAGCTGGCGCTGCAGGCCCTGGTGTGGAACGGTCAGAGGGCACAGCAGCGACCCTCTGGCCTTCCCTGTGGCCACGTTGGACGGTGCTGCTTGGGGTGTCTGGGTCCCCGGCTCCGGGCCCCCTGACGGCCCCTGGGCCCTCTGCAGTGGGAATGCCGGGAGAAGCCGCAGCCTGGACGTCTTCCGGGGAGGGCACGGCCCTCGATGGGGGAGACCCTCTCGGCCTCTCTCCTCTGGACCCCGCTGGGGCCCCTGCGGAGCTGTCCTCTGGGCGGCCCTCCACACAGGCGGGGGTGAGGGTGTCGGTGAGGCAGGGTGGCTGCGCAGGCGGGCCCTCCGGGGGGCTGCTGTCCAGGGCAGGGTGGGCAGCTGGGCTCCCCTCGGGGCTGCAGGGGCCCGTCTTCGAGGCCAGGGGGGCTGCGGGATCCACGTGGGCTTGGCCGCAGCTGGCTCCTGCGGGAGGGCCCCCGGCGGGACTAGAGGCCGGCACACGCTGGGGGCTTGTGGGGCTTCCACGGGACACGGAGGCTGGGAGGCCCGTCAGCCCGCCTGCCGGTGCCGCGGGAGGGTCTTCAGGAGGCAGGGGCCTGCGGCTGCAGGGGGCGGGGGCAGGGCTGGCCAGGGCAGGTGGCCCCTTGAGGCTGGGGCCGGCTGCCTGGTCCGCAGCCTGGACGGTGGGCCCAGTTTGGGTAAGGGCCAGGACCGGCGGTCCCGCAGCACAGGAGGGGGCGCTCGGGGTGGCCTGGCCCTGGTCTGCGTGTCCTATTGGCGTGTCCAGCGTGATGATGTCACGGCTGACGGTGACCGTGGCAGGGTTGCCTGGCGCCCCTGGGTGCCCCCAGGTCTCTGGCTGCGGCTGGCTGGCCCCGCTGGGGCCCGCGGGCTCCTCAGCCTGGCCAAGCCAGCCCGGACGCCCCTCTGCCTGCGGCCCCAGGTGTGGGCGGCCTGCTGTCGCCTGCGCCGCCCCCAGGAAGTCCTGGCTGGGGCTGCGGCTCCTGCCCCCGCCTTCCGTGCCGTCCCCGCGAAGGTCCGGAGGGTCAGCGTCCGGCTTCACGGATCTGGCCACCAGCAGCTGGAGCTGATGCAGGGGGCCGGTGGGCGGGTGCTGGGGCCTCCGGTCTCCGCCGGTCTCGGCCCCCGGGCAGGCCCCCGCTCTGCTGACACAGGGCTCCTGGGGGCCGTCGCCGGGACAGGTGCCAGCGGGTAGGGTGCTCGGAGGCACAACCCCAGCACCCCAAAATGCCAGGGCAGGGGCCAGAGGGACAGCAGGGCTGCCGACCCCTTCCAGCTGAGGCGGGTCTCCGCGGGGTCCGTCTGCCGCGAGGGGCGGTGGGGGGGCTGGGCGGCGGAGTATTCCTGACGCGCCGTTGTCCCCGGGGAGGGAGGCGTCCCGGCGGGGGCTGCACCTCACTAGACTCCCCACGTGAGAAGACTCCCCACAGCCCGCTCAGCCTTGGGGGGACCCGGCTGGCAGGCGGCACCGAGCGGCGGGGCTGCCTCTCCGGGGTGGAACGAGGGCCGCTCCTCCCGGGGGCCCCCCAGAGCCCGCTCCACGGTGGCCACGGCCGTTCCTGCCCCTTGCGGGGGTGCCCTCGGCTGGGCCAGCGGGGCGGCGGCCTGGAGCCGGGCTCCGTGCGGCTGGCCCGGGGCCTCCTGCGCGCCCCGGCCGCTCTGCAGCTGACTCTCCAGCTCAGCAACCAGCCTCCTGATCTCCAGCTCGTCCTCGGCCAGGCTGCCCGCGAGGGAGGCAGGCCCTGGGCCGGCTGTGCCGGGTGCCGGGGCGACCGGGCTGGGCCTGTGCTGGGGCGCTGGCCGGGTGCCGGCTCCCCGGGGCGGCCAGGAACGTGGCCCACCTGGCTGGGCAGCAGCGGGGCCACCTCCTCCTGCAGGGCCCAGCCGTGGTTGGGCGGAACAGAGGGCCGAGGCGGGGGCGGCGGGGCTCTCCTTGGGGCAAGGCGGGTGCCCGCGTGGGTGTCCTTGCCTCCGGGGCTGCTGGAGGTCGGGGCGTGGGGCCCCTCCACGGGCAGCCCTGGGAAGAGCGGTGCGGACTCCGGGGTCAGCGGAGGCTTGGCTCTGCCTGGGGCCAGCTCCACAGGGCGGGGTGCATTTGGGGGCAGCGCTGGCACCCCGTCCGGGCACAGGAGCTTGCCGCTGGGGTCCGGAGCCTCGGGCTTGGCGTACAGGTCCCGGTGGAAACGGGAGGCCGGGTCTTCAGGTCCCAGGAACAATCCACTTGGTGTCCTGCGGTCAGGCCGGGGCCCCTCTCTGGGAGCCGGGCGCCCCACGGTGCTGCTGTGAGAGGGCGCGGGGTCGCCGCTGAGGCCGGGGCCCCTCAGGAGCAGGGCGCTGTGCCCAGGGGGGCCTGCCTCTGCCGGGCGTGGGGCGGGCTCCTCTCCGCCGCGGGAGGGCGTCTCCGTGCCTGGCGCACTGCCCGGCCCTGGCGGGCTCCCGGGGGGCGGCCCTTTGGGGTCCCCCCTGCCGGGCTGAGGCGGCTCCGGGGCTCCGGGGCGCACGGACTGTCGGCTTTCCTCTGGGGCCTCAGGCGGGGCGGTGGCCCGCGACGGATGATGGGGGGCCGCCGCTGTGCCATCTGTGTACTGGGGGGCTCTGGCTTCTGGGCTCTTTGCTGGGTGCTGGGTCTCAGGAGAGCTGGGGGTGCTCAGGCCAGGCCTGGCCGGCTCCTCTGGGCCTGGGGAGCCCTTGTCCGTCGGGGCTCCCCGCCTCGGGACCTTCCGGGGCTTCTGCTGCTCCCTCTCTTCTCTGAGGCCCCCCAAGTCCCCCTCCTTCCTCTTCTCGCCGCGGGGCCAGCGCCGGCAGCTGTGGCGGGGCCGGCCCCTGAAGCGGGGCCCCGAGGCCGCGGGCCCTCGTCCTCCTCAGACTCGGAGCCGCGGGGCTGCCGCGGGGGCCGGGGGGGCCGGCCGGGGGCCCGGCTGGTTCTTCTGCTGCAGGATCTTGTGGATGAGCTCCTTGCTCCACGAGCCGCCCCGCGCCCGCCTCCTCCGCGCCGGCCCCCGAGAGCGCTGCGAGCTGCCGGCCGCCGCGGGGAGGGCCCGGTGGCGGGGGCCGGCGCGGCCCCGGGGGGCCTGGCTCCTGAGGTCCCGGGGCTGGGGCGGGGGTGGCTCAGCCCACCGCCCACTGGCCGCGGCCTCAGGTGGGGCGCCCTGGCGCTGCTGCAGGGCCCGCCGGGGCCGCCGGCCGGGCCTTGCTCTTTCCGCAGCCGCGTCAGCCGCTTCCCTCCCCGCTGCCTGCTGGCCAGGCTGGCCCTGGCGGCCTTGGCGGGCGCCGGGCCTCGGGAGCGGGTTTTGGGCCAAGCGTGGGTGGTGGGCACCCCGTCCCGGAGGTGAGGGGCCTGGGGCTCTGCCGTGTCGGCCGCAGTGGGGAGCGGGGGCTGGACTTCACTCTCGGGCACCGCCCCCGCCCTGGCCTTGGGGGGCTGCCCAGCACCGGGGCCCCGGGGCCGGGAGGCTCCTCGTCGGCGAAGACGTCGATGAAGCTGCTATCGATCTCGGGGCTGTCAGACTGGTAGCCCAGGCCGTCCAGCGCCTCGGTGATGAGGCTGTCCAGCTTGGCGGCGTCCTCCAGGTCCAGGTCTGCGGCGGGGAGCGCGAAGTGGGCGGCCAGGCTGGGCCCGAGGCTGCCCCGCAGGGGGTCGTCCCTGCCGTCCTCCCGCACGTCTCCGGCCAGCAGGAAGGGGGCGGCCTTGGCGGGGCTGAGCAGGCTTGGGCTCCCGCCGGCCGCTGCCTTGGGGTGGCAGGGGGCGTGGGGAGCCCCAGGGGCTGCTGGAGCCGGTCCTTGGCCCTGGCCGGGAGCAGGCCGCAGAACTGCCGGTGCTCCAGGAAGGCGGCCAGGCTGCTGTAGTTGCGGTCACACTGCCTGCAGGTCAGCAGCACGTCCAGCTGGTCCAGGCTGGCGCTGCTGAGGGGAAAGTGGTGGGCGGAGTAGGGGGGCAGCCCCTGGGGGAAGCCCTCCAGCACCCCCTGGGCCACCTCGGGGCCCACGCTGGGGAAGGGGGCGTCCTCCAGGCACTTGAAGGCGCCCTGGGCGCCCAGCCTGCCCGTGGGGAAGGGGCCGGCCTCGGGCTGGTAGTGCACAGGGGGGCCCTGGGAGGGCCCGGGGGGCGGGTGGGGGTGACTCGGGGCATGGAAGAAGGCGGGGGGCCCGGGCAGCTGGCTGTCCTCCGAGCTGGGGTTGGCGGGGCTGCAGGAAGGGGCGACAGGGAGGAGCAGGTGCTGCTGCCCGTGGTGTTGGTGGCGGGCGAGGGCAGCGGGGACTCGCTGGGGGAGGCGGCCACCACTCTGGGTGGGGGCAGGCCTGGGGCCCCTCGAGGCGAGACCTGGGGCTGGGCCACCCCAAAGAACAGGGGCTGGGCTCCGGGGTCTTTCAGCCCGTTGTAGGGGAAGGGCCCGGGGGAGCCGCCGTGCTGGCCTGGGCTGTTTCCCAGCAGCCCCAGCTTCTCGCCCGCGCCGGGAGGCTTGCCGGCCGCCGCCAGCGCTCCCTGCACGCTGCCCTGCCAGTCCAGGGCGTCCGGCGGGAAAGGCGGCCGGCCCAGCATGTCCACTGGGTGGGGGCCGGCCACGGCGCTCGGGAGCACCTGGGACCAGGGCAGCGGGGGACTGTGGGGGAGGCCCAACTGCTGGCCGAGGCCAGGCTGGCCGTCAAAGAACACCCCTCCGGGGGCGGCCGTGGGGCCCAGAGGAGGCGTGGGATACGGGGCTGCGGCTGGGTCCCACAGTTGGGGCAGTCTCGTGGGGGAGGGCCCGGGGGGGGCCAGCTCTGTGTCCAAAGGCCCCAGGGGAGGGTCTACACCACTGGCTCCGGGAAAGCATCCCCTGGGGCTCCCCAGCCCGCCGTGGGCCACTGGCCGAGCCTCTGGGAGGGCTTCCGCCAGGCCCTGGTGCAGGCTGTCGGGGAAGGTGGCCCTGGCTCCTGCGAAGGGGCCGAGCACTGGGCGCACAGCGCCAGGGCCAGGGAGAGCCCTGCCCGCATCCCGGGGGGCACGGAGGCCACTGGGCCGGCCGGGGTAGCAGGGTGGGGGTGGGGGAGCAGGCCTGGAGGGCAGCCGGCATGTGGTGCTGGCGGCCACGGCCTCCTCTGGCCACGCGGCGGGGGGCTGGTGGAAGGCCAGCACCAGGGGCCCCTGGGCGTACTCATGCTCAGAGGTGCCCCGCGGGAAGGGGTGCTCAAAGACCCCCCCCGGGCTGCTGCCTTCAGGAAAGGACTCTGGCTTGGTGGGGGGAGGCCTGAAGCCAGCACCTTGGAAGCTGTCCTCGGTGGCGGGGGGCCAGGGGCTGGCCCCGCCAGCTGGGAACTCTGGGTAGGGGCCTGGCCTTCGGGGGCTGGTGCTCGCTGAGGTACGGCTTGTGGAGGTAAAGCTGGAGGGGGGCTCCTGGACACGCCCTGGGAAGCTGAGCTCTTTGGGGGCAGGCGGGGCCTCGGCCCTGGGGAGGCCAGGCCTGACACGGGTGCGGGGGGCCTCCCCCTCTGGGGGTTGGGGGGCCTCCACTGGCAGGCCCTCTGGGGTCTCGTCCAGGGTGGGCCTGGCCCTCGCGCTGGCCATGCCCACAATGCGGAGCTGCTGGGGGCTCTCCCCGGCCCTGCTGGCCTGCCAAGCCCGAGCCTGGGCAGGGCTCCTCCCGGGTGGGGCCCGGGGGCTGCCCACCTCCTCGGGGTTGCTGCTCAGGGGGTGAGCTCTCACAGGGGCAGGCTTGGGCTCCACCCCCCTGGCTTGCTGTGGCTTGGTCCTGAGGTCCACAGCCTGGGCCCTGCTGCCGGCCTCCCTGGCGGCCTTGGCGGTCCTGCCGGCTGGGTTACCGTCCTTGTTGGGGGGCAGGGTGGAGCCCCTCGTGCCACTGGCCGCCTGGCCAGGCTGCAGGTCGCCGGTCATGGCTGGAGGCGGTGCTCCTTGGGGCTGCTCCCCCGGCATGGCCCCTCCTGGACACTAGGAGGGGGCAGCGGTCCTATGGGGGCTTTGGGGAGTGAGCTGGGCAGCCATCCTCGGCCCTCGGGGGCCCCCAGACACGCCTGCTTTCATGGTCCTGAGTGGAGCCTGCAAGGGGAGGGTGGGAGTGAATGGGGCGGGCCCGTGGGCTCAAGGCGGCCATCTGTGTGGCCCACGGGGCCAGGAAGGACAGGGCAGGGCCCGCAGGGATGGGGCGCGGAGTGGAAAGCTGACCAGCCCTGGTGTGGCCTGTGGGCCAGCCCCTGCCCAGGACACCAGCCTCCGGAAGGTGCCACCCGGTCCTGGACTTCTGAGCCAGGTGGCATCTCTGGGGTGTGCCTGGGGCCTGGTCAGGCCTCAGAGGCGAGCTCCAAGGACATGGTGAGCTGGTGGGAGACCCTGCAAGACAAAGCCCTGGGGCGTGGCCGGCGCCCCTCCCTGCTCAGGGTTGGCCGCCCCCTCTGGGGGGCCGGGGCAGAGGGGGGGGGTCTGCACGGGGGCACAGCACTCGTCAGAGCCACCCAGGCCAGCCTTGGAATTGCATTTTCCTGCCGCCCCACAGGCCCGCGGAGGCTCGGGCGTGGGGGCCTGCCTGTCCCCGGGCCAGCCCCGCTCCATCCTTGCCTGAAGGGCTGCGGGAGGCCGTGTGGGGGCCCGGGCTGAGCCCGCGGCCTGGTGGGGGCGCCCTAGCTCTGCGGTGGCAGTTGGGCGCAGAGGGGCGAGGGGCCGCACCGGTGTGGGCGGGAGACAGGCCTGCAGGGGCTGCAGGGAGTGGCCGCCGGCCGTGGGGATGGGGTCCGCGGCAGGGCCACAGCGCTCCGGCACGGGGAGGAGGGCCCCGGCCAGCCCCGTCCTCTGAGCGGCTGCTGTGGAGGGCGCTTCTGGGCCCCTGCACTCCCTGCCCCGGCAGGGTCTCCGGGGTGTGCTTCCAGGGCTGTCAGCAGAGGGCGCCAAGCCGCCCCGTCCCACCCGGGGGCCCCACCCCTTTCAAGCAGAGGCCTGGCTCCCCCTTCTGGGCCCCACCAGGGCCGGCCCTCCCCATCTCAGGGCGCTGCCGGCCAGGACTTAGGGCGAGTTTGCTGAATGAGTCAGTAGTGGCGGTGCCCAGCAAATCGGGCCGGACCGCCAGCGCTGCCCACCCACGGCTTCCCTGCCCTCACCGGGCTCCGGAGGGTGGCACTGCACTTGCGCTGCCATTTGTGCGTGAGGAGCCCGGGCAGCAGGTGGCTAAGCTGCCCAAGGCCTCCCCGCCTGTGGAGGTCCCGGGGGCTTGCCACGCCCACTTGCCCACCTCCAGGCGGCTCATGCTGGGGCCAGCGGTCCCCAGGGCGGGGCCCACGGCCACCAGGGCCCCTCAGGGATCCCCCTGGAGATGCCGTGGTGCTCGAGGACAGGGCATGGCCCCCACAAGACCCACCCCTGCCTGGGCCCCGGGCCCGGCTGCTGACGGCAGGCCCGTCTCCTTGCCCGGGGCCCCAGGGGCTGTTGGAGGTGAGCGGCTCCGCGCGGGCGCACGCGGCCTGACCTGGGGGTGGTTCGCTGTTGGTTTGGGCTTGCTCCGCCCCAGCCCGTGTCCTCCAGAGCAGAGGGCCGGGGGGCGCTCTCCGCCTGCCCGGGCCTGGAGGCCGGTGAACAGCAGGCGTTCAGGGGACTGTGGGTTTCCACATGGGGCCTCCCTCACCGGTCATCGAGTGACCTGACCCAGTGTCTTCCCAGCCTCACTTCCCCATCTGTGCATGGAGGCTGCAACTAGAAGGAGCTTCACCCACAGCCCGGAGGGCCCAGGGTTGCTCCTGCCTGGCTGGCATGCCGATGAGCAGGCATGGGGGGCTGTGGAGCACAGGTGGCTTGGGCTCCCTGGGGGCTCGGGGAGGGTGTTCTGTGTTTGCCACTGGCCCAAGAAGAGCGTCGAGGCTTTTGCAGGGCCGGGCCCATGCCAGGCCTTAGCCAGCAGTCTGGGTGGCTCGGCAGCCTCTCTGGGCCGGGCCTGCTGGCTCCAGGGGTGCTCCGCGGTGCACACTGGCTGTGACCCAACAGGGTCACAGTGGCCTCTGGCCACTTCCCCTCGGGGCTCAGGCCCCCACCAGGTGACACAGCGCCCTCCCTCCACGCTGCCTGGACTGCAGTGCAAGCCCCGAGTCCGCCCCTGACATCCCGCTTTTGGGGGGCAGGTGGCAGCCCCAAAGACGGCCCAGAGTGGAGCCAGGAGGGGCGGTGGGCGGGGGTGGAGGGGCGAGGGAGGCTGTCTCCAGCTGGGTGGGGCCCTGGGCAGGGTCCCTCACGTACCTGGGAGTTGGTGCCTTGGCTGCCGGGCCGCGCGGCTGCCCCAGGAGGCAGGGCTTCTTGGCTGCAGAGAAATGGGGAGCGTGAGTCCCTGTGCTGCCTGGAAGGGGCAGAGGGCTTGGAGGAGCCCCTAGTGCTGCGAGCCGCCTCCACCGCCCTGGGGAGCTGGGGGTGTGTGGGGGCCAGCGGGGTGGCTTGGCCCAGTTTGAGGGCCCTGCGGGGTTTGGGGTCCCCAGCTTTGGCGTTCTCTCTGGGAAGTGCTGCCTCCAGGGGACACATTCAAGGTGCAGCCGGGCAGGGGTTCGCAGCAGAGAAGACCAGCCCCCCGAGACCTGCAGGGGTCCCAGGAAGGGCAGTGGGTCGAGGGACACGCGCACTGGTGGAATCGGCCCTGTGGAGACCACACAACCCCTCCCTCCAAAGGCAGGCCCGGGCCCTCGCGGGCTCAGGTGGCACGGGGCTCCCGCTCGGGCACAGAGCAGGCCGCTGGACTTGGGCCACGCGCTGGGGGGGACACCCTCTGCCATGCTTGGGGCCGCCCGGGAAGGTCGCCTCCAGCCGGCCCAGTCGTCAGAGGAGACGCTATCCCAACAGCAGCCCGAGCCCCCTGCTGAGGGCCCCCAACTCCTGACCCTGGAGACGAACACAGTGGACGCCCTGAGCTGCTACTGGACAGAGACGGCTGCCTGGACCGTCAGAGCCCCCGGTGGTGTCCGACGTGCAAGACACAGACCCGAGGATTTAATGAGTCCCGATGGCAGCCGGGAGAGGCTGCGTCCGCAGGCGCGCGGTGAGCCTGGAGGACTGCAGAGCTCTGGCCTCCCCGGGACGCCGCGGAAGAAGTCCACTGCGCCCGACAGTTACCCACTCTTGTCCACCACCCGCCGCCCACCCGCCACCGTCCCACCTGACACTGGGCGCAGTGTGGGCAACTGAGTCGTGGCTTTGGCCGCATGGGACGAACTGGACGGTGCGCAGGGCACAGCCGGCCACAGCAGGGAGGCGGCCTCAGAGAGGTGGTCCGACCTGCCCAGCGCACGGCGCGTGGTGAGAAGGGAGGGGTGGGGTGCCCGTGGTGACCACGCACGCCCCTCGGCCCTACCTCATGGCCCCGGCCGTGCCTTGGGCCGAGCTCAGCGGCCCATTGCTGTCCCTCCCCGCGGAGGGGCCTCCACCATGCCCCCGGGCCCCCCCGGCCGCCCCCAGGGCCCCGTCCTGGCGCTCAGATGTGGGCTGGGCATGGGGCAGCATGTGCCCGGCTCTCGGGTTCCCCACCCCGCCCAGCCCCTGGGTGCCCAGGGGGTGTGGGTTTCAGCAGGCCTGCGGCCCCTTTGAAGCGGGAGAGCCAACCCCTCAGACCCCGGCCTGCCTGGGGAGCACCTGGAAACATGACCAGGCCCTCTCCCTGCATAACTCAAGTGGGAGGTGCCCTGTGACCTCCTCCACCGCCCGGGCTGCCCCCGGGGGGCCCGCACCCTGCCCCGGCTGCAGGGCTGCCCACACAGCCGTGGCCTTGCTGCGTCGCGCTGCGTGGGGCCGGCTTGGGGTGGCCTCTGGGGTGAGGCTCCCCACGGCGACCTGAACAGCTGCCCTGTGGCCCCAGCCCCCACGAGGCGGAATCTGGAGACGGGCCCTTTGGGGTGCTGCAGTCGTGGGGGCGAGCGCCTGGGGCGATCACACCCCCTCTCCATGCCTCGTCCTGCAGGGGGGGCGGGGGGCGAGGACCACACAGCCCCAGCCCAGCCAGGCGGGCAGGGAGGAAGGGACGCCAGCCTGGGCGTGTGCCCGTCCCGCTCCCCGCGTTCTGGCCTCTTGGCGGGTGGCAGGACCCGGCGGCCGGGGGAGGCCGTGTGTGTGGCCCCCGCACCTCACAGGGGGCGGCGCCGGGCGCGGGCAGGTAGGGCTGGGCGGGCAGCGGGCCTCCGCCCTGACCCCGTGTGGACGGGAAACAGGCTCCAGCAGACGCGGCCTGACCCGGTGAGTTGGAAGCAGAGCCCGGAACCAAGTCTGCCCCCTCACCCGCTCCCCAGGGCCCAGGGCGGCTCCGGCCGCCCTCCTGGCCAAGCCCCGAGCGTCGCCTGTGCCCTCGGCCCTGGCCCGGGCCGGCGGCCGCCCCTAAAGGGCAGCTGCGCGGCCTGCTGGGCGGGGTGTCCCTCGGCGACCGGGGGCCTGGCCGGAGCGCGCGGGCACACGGCAGCGGGGGACGGGCCGGCGCGGGAGCAGGGGCCCGGCTGCGCTGACATTTAATTCACACATGTCCCCCCTTCCTTTGCTGCTCGGCGCTATCTGTTACCTGGGTGCAGAGGAACCTCCGCAGGTGAAACTGTATCTGCCATACGCCCGGAGGGGACGTTTAAGAAAAGCAGGAATTATCGGCTGCATTTATCTTAATTACTGCGGGGAAAGTGGAGGCTGGCGTTGGAAGGGGCTGGAGCGGTGTCTGCCCCGCCTTATCGGGTGCATATTTGAGATCCTTTAACAGGAGGGAGATAAGAGGAGCAGGGAAATGATGTCTTCGGAAATGACAGGGAGGCGGCCGGGTGTGCCTCAGGCGCTCACAGCAGCCCCGCTGGACGCCCCCAGGCCCCACGCCAGGCCCCACACTTCATCCTGACAGTCGACCCACACGGCCTCGTGCCCAGCACGTGGGGTGCCCTGGCCTGCCGGAGGCCTCGCCCTGGGTCTCTGCTCCCCACAGAGCAGCACGCCTGCACCCCGAAGTCCTGTGTGGAGCCCGGCGACACGTGCGGGCCCAGGGCCCCGCCCACATCAAGGGGCCACCAGAAACCGAAGGGGACACCCGGCCTGGGCACCACCCTGCAGGCGGCTGTCCCCAGGGCCTGTGCGGACCGGCGCTCTCGGCACCCCTGGGTACTGTGGTCCCGGGCAGGTGGGGCTAGGCCCTCTGGGGGAGCTTGCTGAGCACCCTCGGCTGAGGCCGGGGAGCACACTGCCCTGCAGGCTGGCCAGGGCCAAGGCGAGTGGGGGCAGTGTGCTCTGATGGTGACAACCCCGGGCCGTGGAGTCCTGGACCACGGGGCTGTCCTGGGATGCCCGTTCCTCCTCCCCTGAGGCCAGCCCCTCGGCCTTCAGGTCCAGGGCCACCTCCTCCAGGAAGCCCTGGCCACCGGCTGGCTGCTTTCCCTACCTCCGTCCACTTCTCTGAGGCCTGCACGCAGCCTTGTGGGGGGCGCCTGTCCCTAGCCGCGGTTGTACAGGGTGGAGGCCCCCCAGTCCTGCCCAGCCGAGGGTGGGGTGGGGGCCGCCGCCCACCACCTTGGCTCCCTGGGGCGCATGCAGTCCTGAGTGCCCACCTGTGAGGCGGTGGCGCTGCGCCCCTCAGCAGCCCGCCGCCAGGCAGGACCCTGCTCAGGGGAGCCTCGTGGCCGGAGGCTCGGGGGCCATCCATGCTGGGGCGCAGGGCAGGGAAGCCCCCGTGGCCACCGGCACAGCACACACCGGGGCACACCACGCCGGCAGGGCTGGGTCCTGGACTCGCTCTGAACTGAGGCTCCGGCAGGAGCCAGCAGGCAGGAGGGCGGCCTGGGGGTGGGCACGGGTGTGCCTGGGGGTCTGGCGCATGGTCCCAACGTGCGGACACTGGATGGCTGCGGCTTGGCCCCGGAACTCGGGCCACCCTGGGGGCCCAGGCTTGTCTGCATGGGGCGACCAGACCACCTCACAGGTGAGGGGCAGAGGCCGAGGGGTCTGGGAGGGGAGACAGCTGTGGGGCACCCACTGGGGCCCAGACCGGGGCAGGCTGCTGGGCACGAGCCCGGAGCCCCGCACAGCCGCATGAGCTCTCTCCCAGGACAAGATTAATGAGCTTCCCCAGGGCGCAGCGTTAATTACTCCGCCGGCAGCGCAGACCCCGTCAGACGCCTTTCCTGTCAGAAGTGACTGTAATTTCCCTTCCGAAGGCGCGGCCGTGGGGAGCTGGGACGGGGCTCGGGTGAGCGGGCCTGCGCCCCGCCCGGGCTGTGCAGGGAGGGGTTTGGAGGGAGGGGCACCTCTGGCCCGAGGTGGCGGGTGAGTCGGCCTCAGTCGGGGAGCCTGGGGCACCCGCTGCCTGCTGGGTGAGGGCCCGTCCGCAGGATGGGGGGACAGGGGCTCAAGCCCAGCTCGGGGTCCAAGCTGTCCTCTCCCTGCCGCCGCCCTCGGCCCTACAGTGCCAGGGTGGCCGCCCGGCCCGGGCTGTGCCCACCGCGTCCTGCAGGTGGGCGCCCACTTGGGAGGCCCCAAAGGTGGGGACGGCCCCTGGGCACATGGAGGGAGGGCCCCTGGCGTCTTCCCAGGCTGGGGTCTCAGCTCTGTGTGCTCAGCACCCCCACAGCCCCTGGCCTGCCGGCTGGTGGGGTGGGACCGGCTACCCGTCAGGACCCCTGGGCCTGGGGAGACGCCACTGCCCGCACGTCTCCCTGCCCCCTGCCCTGAGGACCGGGCCCTGCCCCTGCCCCTCTCCTCGCCCACCCTGCCTCCGCCCTGCCCCTCCCCCCTGCACTCAGCCCCGGGCCCCACCCTCCGAGACGTGGGGTCTGGACCCCAGAGTGGGGGCTGGGCCAGGGGACCCAGGGGACCGCCCTGCCCAGCCCTGCAGTCCCGCGGGGGGGCGGGGACAGCCCCAGGAGCGCAGCACAGGGCCGGCTTTCTGAGCTCCCGGAGAAGCAGAAGCCCGGGTTTTAGAGTGAAATCCCCCCATTTTTAAAAGTTGGCAACAAATTCACGCGAGACAAAATAACTACTGTGTGGGCAGCCCCGGGGGACACAGGCTGCGGTTGGTCTGGCCTGACCTCCGGCGGGCGGGGCGCACTCACCTCCGCCCACCGCTCCCCCCACTCCCCGCCTCGCTCACTGCTGGGCCGCCCTGGCGGCTGGAGGCTGCGGGGCGGGGCGGGCCCGGGCCCCGGCCGGCGCTGGACAAGGCCGCTGTGCAGGGACGGTGCGGGGACTCCCCAGGCCCGGGGCACGGCCCCTTGGCAGCGGGAGGACAGGCGGGCTCCGGTGTAGCGGGGCTCAGGGAGGCTCAGCCGCGGGCCCAGGACACGCTGCGGCGGGAGGACGCGG